AGTAATCCCTGCAAATATGCTACTGAGTGTTGATCGCCGGCCAGATTCCCTGGCTACTTATCGCAGCACCATTCTCCGCACACTGTAATGATCCATCTATGCTTCTGCACTGTTCACATGCCCCAGAAAGCTTGTGATGTGTTAATTCACCACCTGATTGTACAGAACCAGCCAGTCTGTCTTTCTTTTCATTTCCCAGTAGACTGGCGTGTACTGTGAGGTACAAGAGTTTTCATATTAACTTATATATGTGTGGCTGAACCTTCACGATGTCTGTTTGAAACAAAAAAGGAGTAGAGGATCTCTTTTCAGACACAAGGTGCATTACTGTAATCGCCCTTACTGACAAAGGTGAATGTTGCATTACTACAGTCATCCTTACTGACAAAGGTCAATGTTGCATTACTGCAGTCATCCTTACTGACAAAGGTCAATGTTGCATTACTGTAATCATCCTTACTGACAAAGGTGAATGTTGCATCACTACAGTCATCCTTACTGACAAAGGTGAATGTTGCATTACTACAGTCATCCTTATTGACAAAGGTGAATGTTGCATTACTGTAGTCATCCTTACTGACAGAGGTGAATGTTGCATTACTGTAGTCATCCTTACTGACAAAGGTGAATGTTGCATTACTGCAGTCATCCTTACTGACAAAGGTGAATGTTGCATTACTGCAGTCATCCTTACTGACAAAGGTGAATGTTGCATTACTGTAGTCATCTTTACTGACAAAGGTGAATGTTGCATTACTGCAGTCATCCTTACTGACAACGGTGAATGTTGCATTACTGCAGTCATCCTTACTGACAAAGGTGAATGTTGCATTACTGTAGTCATCCTTAATGACAAAGGTGAATGTTGCATTACTGCAGTCGTCCTTACTGACAAAGGTGAATGTTGCATTACTGTAGTCATCCTTACTGACAAAGGTGAATGTTGCATTACTACATTCATCCTTACTGACAAAGGTGAATGTTGTATTACTGTAGTCATCCTTACTGACAAAGGTGAATGTTGCATTACTGCAGTCATCCTTACTGACAAAGGTGAATGTTGCATTACTGCAGTCATCCTTACTGACAAAGGTGAATGTTGCATTACTACAGTCATCCTTACTGACAAAGGTGAATGTTGCATTACTGCAGTCATCCTTACTGACAAAGGTGAATGTTGCATTACTGTAGTCATCCTTACTGACAAAGGTGAATGTTGCATTACCGCAGTCGTCCTTACTGACAAAGGTGAATGTTGCATTACTGCAGTCATCCTTACTGACAAAGGTGAATGTTGCATTACTGTAGTCACCCTTACTGACAAAAGTGAATGTTGCATTACTACAGTCATGCTTACCGACAAAGGTGAATGTTGCATCACTGTAGTCATCCTTACTGACAAAGGTGAATGTTGTATTACTACAGTCATCCTTACTGACAAAGGTGAATGTTGCATTACTACAGTCATACTTACCGACAAAGGTGAATGTTGCATCACTGTAGTCATCCTTACTGACAAAGGTGAATGTTGCATTACTACAGTCATCCTTACTGACAAAGGTGAATGTTGCATTATTGCAATCATAATTGCTGACAAAGGTGAATGTTGCATTACTACAGTCATACTTACTGAAAAAGATGAAGTTGCGTTACTACAATCGTCCTTACTGACAAAGGTGAATGTTGCATTACTGCAGTTGTCCTTACTGACAAAGGTGAATGTTGCATTACTACAGTCATCCTTACTGACAAAGGTGAATGTTGCATTAGGGCCATTCTCCTTACCAACAAAGGTGAATGTTGCATTATTGCAATCATAATTGCTGACAAAGGTGAATGTTGCATTACTGCAGTCATCCTTACTGAAAAAGGTGAAGTTGCGTTACTACAATCGTCCTTACTGACAAAGGTGAATGTTGCATTACTACAGTCATCCTTACTGACAAAGGTGAAGTTGCGTTACTACAATCGTCCTTACTGACAAAGGTGAATGTTGCATTACTGCAGTTGTCCTTACTGACAAAGGTGAATGTTGCATTACTGCAGTTGTCCTTACTGACAAAGGTGAATGTTGCATTACTGCAGTCATCCTTACTGACAAAGGTGAATGTTGCATTACTACAGTCATACTTACCGACAAAGGTGAATGTTGGATCACTGTAGTCATCCTTACTGACAAAGGTGAATGTTGCATTACTACAGTCATCCTTACTGACAAAGGTGAAGTTGCGTTACTACAATCGTCCTTACTGACAAAGGTGAATGTTGCATTACTGCAGTTGTCCTTACTGACAAAGGTGAATGTTGCATTACTGCAGTTGTCCTTACTGACAAAGGTGAATGTTGCATTACTGCAGTCATCCTTACTGACAAAGGTGAATGTTGCATTACTACAGTCATACTTACCGACAAAGGTGAATGTTGGATCACTGTAGTCATCCTTACTGACAAAGGTGAATGTTGCATTACTACAGTCATCCTTACTGACAAAGGTAAATGTTGCATTAGGGCCATTCTCCTTACCAACAAAGGTGAATATTGCATTATTGCAATCATAATTGCTGACAAAGGTGAATGTTGCATTACTACAGTCATCCTTACTGAAAAAGGTGAAGTTGCGTTACTACAATCGTCCTTACTGACAAAGGTGAATGTTGCATTACTGCAGTTGTCCTTACTGACAAAGGTGAATGTTTCATTACTACAGTCATCCTTACTGACAAAGGTGAATGTTGCATTAGGGCCATTCTCCTTACCAACAAAGGTGAATGTTGCATTATTGCAATCATAATTGCTGACAAAGGTGAATGTTGCATTACTGCAGTCATCCTTACTGAAAAAGGTGAAGTTGCGTTACTACAATCGTCCTTACTGACAAAGGTGAATGTTGCATTACTACAGTCATCCTTACTGACAAAGGTGAAGTTGCGTTACTACAATCGTCCTTACTGACAAAGGTGAATGTTGCATTACTGCAGTTGTCCTTACTGGCAAAGGTGAATGTTGCATTACTGTAGTTGTCCTTACTGACAAAGGTGAATGTTGCATTACTGCAGTTGTCCTTACTGACAAAGGTGAATGTTGCATTACTGCAGTTGTCCTTACTGACAACGGACTGCAGGTTACACTTGGCTGGTGTTGCCATTAGGGTGCCCCAGTTATAACTTCTTTGGGGATTGAACCGGGTGTCTTTTTCTTTGTGTTGTTCACTGGCTGTCAATTCTGGCAGAAAGTTGTTCCGTTTGTTCCTTCACTCCTGACTTTGGTCTTATTGCAGAACTTGAGTTTTTCATGAACATCTTTTTTACAAATCTGGCTTATTTATGTACAGACTGTTGGTTTCTTGCCTGTCAGGCAGATATGCTGCGACTTTAATGGAATAACAGGGTATCTGGGATCTGCCTTGTTGGCCTTTCATCTAGATTGAGGTTTTGTAATCTCAGGATTGTATGGTAAATCTTTAGATGGCAAGCCAGAGGGGACAAACTGATTGATCTATTACTACCATTAGATGTATACCGCCAGTCTCATATTTGTATACAAATAAAAACTCTTTGCGACTCTGATTTTATAGATAATCTACACAGTAGTCTAGATTGTCAGTTAACTTTTCTGGTGGTACTTATAACAAACTTGCTCTCACAGTGAGAGTTCTTTCCCCTCCCATTCATGCTGTGGCTGGCCGCACGGCCTGTCCCTTGTTGTGGGGGTGTCACTGTATTCCTAATTTTCAAAGGTTTAAATGTTCTCTCTTTTCTTGTGTTGTCACTTACATGATTATTTCCATATTGTGCTACTTGTCCGATGGTTCTTGAGTACCCAAACTGAGATGTTTTTTAATTTCTACTTTCCTTGTCAGTATCTTCTTTTTCTGGGGGATGCCACCACCAAGGAACGTAGAAATAAAAAAAAAATCCAAGTTTGATACTTACAAACAGTTGCACCTGGGGCCCTTAAAAGGCTCACTACAACACAACCTCCCACAAACATTATATACGGCAAGCAAATACCGAATAAAGCCATCTCGTAACACCCCTCCCCCCTTACAACATAGGATAGTCAGTGTGACCGGTCGCGGCATGAATTGGAGGGGAAGGAACTTTTGCCATGAGGGCAAGTTTGTGAAGTTCCTTTTCGGTACGATGCACCTCATCTTTTCTATCACAGATAGTTGTTACATTAACTCATTAATCTGAATTGTTCAACTACTTCTGCATAATGCTCTTATTTAAGTGATCTGGACTCTCAAACAGTCAAGAAATTAATCCACTTAACTGTGACTGAGAATCTAAACAAAAGGTGGGAATTGGGAAAAACTCACACACATGAACAATCGGACACTTTGGCAGCAGCCTTTGTTGACAAAAAAACACAACAACGAGAGGAGAGTATCCTGGCCTGTATGGAGGTTCATGAATAACTTAAAATAGAGGATGAGGAACAGATGATACCGAGCTCAGATAAATAAAGGGGAAAAATAACAGTAATAATAATACTAATAATAATAATAAAAGTAATATGAAATAATGGATGTGGTAATAGTAGAAATAATATTAACAATAATAATATACATTTAACAATTAAATGACCAATATAAATAAATAATAACAGTAACAGGATTTAAAAAAAAAATGTAAGAGTGATGATATTTTTTTAAATGAAGGTATATTGAATATTGTTACCAACTAAGCCCATAACACCTAAGCTATGAATAAGGCAATTCTCCAAAGATTTTTCCTAATACAGTTACAGTTAAAGGCAAGATTGTAGCCTTCATGTCAAAACGTATGGAGGGTGTCAACACATGAAATGTTACATGCTGTTGGAAAAGGCAAGTCATAGAGAGACATGCCCACTCAAATCAGCCAGTAAGGTATTTGAATGATGATGATGAGGGGTAATACATGCATTGATCTGATAACTCCAGACAAGAATTGTTGATGGAAACTCAATATTAAATATGATCTGTTTCCTCTTCCCAAGGCCATTTGATGACAGCAATGCATGTCACTGACATTGACCGGGATAGTGGCCGCTGGTCACCCCAGCTGTCAGCTCTTCCTGACACAGTGGTCAAAACATTCAATGATGCCCGCGAAGTGGATGACATCCTTCGCATCCTGCAGGTGTCAGCAGAGCACGATGAGCTGGAGGCTGCCTTCCGTCGGCTGGAGCAGTTGTTTGTAGTTAGTGAGTTCCAGCATGCTGCCTCTTTGGCTGTCAATTAACACATTGGTTATGTAAATGTATTGTCCTTATTTGTGTCTGTGCAAGAAGAATTAACTACTTGGCTCGCATTTCTGTATTTCTTGGCCCTGTTGTTTTAGATGGGAAAAGGAATAGACCCACTGCTTTCCTATCAAGCATGTTCTAAAAAGTGACTGACTAAGTACTTTTCCTCCGAATTTGGAGAACATGTGCCTAATAGATGAGCTACCAACAGCCTGCATACAAATAAGCAGACCAGTAAAACAGATGTGCACATAGAATTCAAGTTCTGGGATAAGACTCAAGTCCAGAAGTGGTCAAACAACCAGACTGTTTTGCCTGCGTTTACAGCTGGTCAGTGCTAAGAAGAAAATATACTTAGCAGCTCTTGTAAATATGGTCAAGAATGTCAAAATGTGTCAGAAAGCCAGTAATAAATATGGACAGAAATGAACATGTGAAAAGGTGGAGAGGATATCCAATATATCAAGTAAATAAAACCTGCAAAGCTGATGTGGTTTAGTGATGAGTTTGCTTGCTCACTAAAAGAAGTCTGGGTCAATCCCTAGCAAAAGCTGATTGTTTTGGAATTTTGGGTGCCCGCCCACTGTGGTCTCTCATTTTTCAGGATATTGCCTGGTACCAGTTTTAGGTTGGGTTGACCCCTAGTCAGTCCATCACACAGATTTGAATCTGTAACTTTAGGCAGGCAGGCATATAGTCACTTTACTATTTGTGCTGCTTGTCTCTACATTGGACACATTAAAAAAAAAAATGAAGCAGTTGAAAAAACAAACAAACCGCAGGCAAGATAATTTGCAGCCCCAATTACATTTCCAAAAGTAACCAACATCAGAGAAAAGAATGAGTGATTCTGGTTTACTGACACAGTTGAATCATCATGGACTGCTACGGAGTTTGTGTTTTGAGGGTAGATTTGTGTGTGTGTGAGCTATGGGAGGAGATTGGAGGTATCTGTTCCCCATGTGGGTTCCGTGGCCTCTTTGTGGGGGGGGGGGGGGGGGGGGGGGGGGGGGGGGGGAATAGACCCAATCTCTCCCACAAGACTAGAAGTTTAGAAGTTGACGAACAACTGGAATTTTCCACCAGAGTTGACCTGTTACAGCTGGTGTATGCGAAGACGAAGAAGAAAAGGTATCTGTGAGACATGAGAGTTCTACTTTAAAAATTAGACCAGCCAGACATTGGTAGGCTAATTTATGTGCTGCAGGCTAATTTATGGCCGCTGCTGTGGCCTATAATTATAACTGTCCCTGAGGTTGAAGAGGGTATCTGGGATTTGTCCTGCTGGAGTGACTTCCAGATAGTGAGTCTTTGGAATTCAGGGGTGTCAGGTCATCAGGTATTAACCTGGAGTGGGAAACCAGTCAGTCTGAACCCCCGGATAATGTGGGCACTTCTTGTTGAGCCACCAGGTAATTTGTCTGCTCAAGGGTGGAATGGAAATATTTCACATGGATTATATTTCACATTGTTTGTTTTGTTTTGAGTTAGCCCTAATTCATTGATATTGTGTTTGATTTAGTACCCAGATATCTGGAGGATAGCCACGTTTACACTTCTATTCTGTCCACCATGGCCCAGATGAGTACAGATTTGACCCTCCAAGAGGTGAGTCTTCATGCATGACATGTTGTGTCATAAAGGTGATCATATAATGACATTTAAACATCCTGGCTGGGAGCATGCAATGTGTACTGTGTCAGTAAGCTTAGGTTGCCATCTTTCACCATTGCACACGATCACCAGACTGATGGATCAGGTCAGTTTTCTGATCACACAATATATATTGTGTCAATAAGCTTAGGCTGCCATTTTTTGCCATCGCACTCGATCACCAGATTCATGTATCAGGTCAGTGTTCTAAGCACGCAGTATGCATCATAATGATAAGCTTAGGCCGTGATCTTTCACCATCTCCCATGATCGTCAGACTCATGGGTCAGGTCAGTGTTCTAAAGTACACAGCACAACAGAATGTCTGGTCTCTATGTAGATTCTTTTAGAGAGACTTTTTTTCTCTTTCTTCTTTGTCCATTTGCTACTTTGTTCTGCTAGATATCACAGGTTAACTGATGATTGGTTTCCTAGCTAGGGCACGCTCGGTTGTCCTGAATGCTGTGATCTTGTGGAGTCTCAGGATATCAGTGACTCCTTCAGTCCTTCTTCTTCCTGATTGTCCTTACCTCTTGCTGTTTCTGCTTTCCTGTTGTGCGCTCTCGTTGCTGGCATCATTGGTTTCATGCTCATTAACTAGCCAAACCATTTAACTCTTTGTTTTTCAATGAATTTAATTATAGATTTTCTTCCAGTAGTTGTAATTTCTTTGTTTCTCACGGGATCTCTTCTAGTTTTGTTCACTGCCTTTCTCAAACATCTCATTTTGCCTGTGGTTAGTATTTTTTTTTTCTTTTATGTTTTTAAAGCCTGATACTGAAAGCATAAGGTTGATATGGAGATAGCATTTATAAGTTGTCTTTTTATCTCTTTTAGGATAGGCGGGTGTTTCAAAATTGGGGTCACCTGATACCTTACATTGTTGGCTTGTTGGATTTTTGTTTCAGTCCCTGTCTATTCTGCTATTATGTATATTTAAAGATGCTCCCTTAATATTTAAAGTATTGAACTTGTTTTGATTTTTGATTTTTTTATCTGTATGTTGATTGTTTGAGTTATGAGTTATGCGTTAGATAGATTATCTTAGATTATCTTCACAGCACTCCGGACACTTCCATAGGTGCTCATATTCCCTTCTCAATATATTCATCAACGATGTGCGGTTAATAGTACCAGTCCTATGTAGGTTAACAAGACTTTGTGTGCGTGCGGTGTGCATCTCATGCTTGGCGGTGCCGATCTTTACTCCGAATTCGTGTATTCTTAGCAGTGATTTGGACAAGTTGCTTCCAAAATCCTCAGAACGTCCTATCTCTCTGAGGGCAATGACAATGTCTGCGTAATCCATGGGCCGGCCATCTTCAATTAATGCAGCACCTGCCAGCCTATCAGCTCTCTCAATACCAACAATGCCTGCATGCCCTGGGACGAATATGAAAGTAACTGCACACACAAGAGAATTTTGCAACGATTCAAGCCACTGTCTGCGTAACCAGCCTGCCTCGACCTGCCGGATCATGCTCAAAGAATCATTCAGCACACACACACGGGAATAGTCCTGTGATCCCAGCCACATGAAAGTCTGTGTCACCGCCATCACCTACATCGTCTTGCTGCTGGCAGTCATGGAGAAGGCACCGCTGGCTTCCTGAACTGTTCAATTCAGATGTTGATTGTTTGATGTTCTCTTGCTATACACATGACCTTTTTTTTTATTTGGGTCTGTTTATTGTCATATTATGTCCGAGGCAGCTGTCAAGTAGTTGGTTTTGGTTTCTGTGGTCCTCTAGCTGAATAACTGGATTGTGGAATAGGCATTGGTCATCAGCGAATAGGATTTTGTTGAAATTGTCCTGTTTATCCCCAGCTGGTGTCATTTTATTGATATTGTCCATGGATGGGATGAATGGCAAAGGTGATAAAACACATCCTTGTCTTACTGCAGATGTTATTGGAAACCAGTCTGCAAGGTCAGCTCTTGTTCTGACAGCACTTTTACTTTCTTTATAGATGGCTGCTGTGTAGTCTAACACTGTTCCGTTTATTCCATAATTTTCCAGGACTTGGCAAAGTAATTATCTGTTTACTCTATCAAATGCTTTTTCTTAATCTATGAAAGCAACATTCATTTGGCATCTGTATTCTATAATTTTTTTGCTGATTTGTCTTAGGGCAAATATAAAATCAGTACATCTACTTCCTTTGCTGAATTCAGCACGTGCTGGACTCAGGTTCAGTTTCACGATGTACCTTATTCCTTGCTCCAGAAGCCTGGCAAATATTTTTACCTTTCTTAGAGAGACAATTACTGTAAACTAAGTCATGTCCCAGCTGCTCATACTGAGGCCTGTTAGGTTGACCACACAAGTGATGGATAGATGGAATATCTAAGCCTGTAAATGCCAGCATCTGTGTTGAAGGTTAAAGTCGAGAGGATCCACTTCCTTGCACAAGGTTTTTACCCATATGGCTTGGTCTCTCTCCACAGAACGGCTAGCCACCTGCCTAGAGTGTCATGACAATGATCCCCGGGGATCTTAGTAAAGATTGCTTTCAAAAACTGAATGGCACAGCCATGAACTGAACCCATGACTTTTAGAGCACAAGGCAAATGGCTTGACCACCGACATTGAGACAGGCATCTATGTAGCACATACCAGGGCTCTCACCCACTGCCTCTTCAAAACCTGCCGCTGAAAAGCAGTACAGTACCAAAGAAGAACAACAACAGCTTGCTACTGAAACAAGTGAAGAGAACAATGTTTTGTGCTGATCAATCACTGAAAGAGGTAAACTAGTACCTCAGGGTGATTGATCACTGAAAGAGGTAAACTATCACCTCAGGGTCTGATTGATCACTGAAAAAGGTAAACCAGTATCTCAGGGTCACAAGGTTGAGGGATGCAGGTCTGTATTGAGAGAGTGCCCTCTAGTCTTGTATCTTTGCTGCACAGCTTAGCTAAGACAACCACTGCTTTCCCCCACAGGTGGGGCTGGACATCTTACACACATTCATGCTCAAGAGTCCTGTCATGGAGGACAAAATGAAAAGGAAAGCTAACTTGTTTATGTAAGTGGTCATTTGTTTGTTTTATTTTAAAATGCCATCACATGATTTTTATAAGTTGCTGATTTTCACAACCCGCTTCTTCCATAAGACGTCATCTACTTAATTCCGGACACATAATTGACACAGACAGTGCTTTTCGTGTGGTTTACCACACTCCGAACAGGAGACTTTTGAGAATCGCCGAAGCTTTAACAATAACAATTAACAACCCCCTCCTTTGTAAGCAGACGGAATTTATTGTAAATTTGAAGTTACCCTGTTAAGTCACGTGACTGCGGTGAGCTTCCGGTGGCCATGAAACAGATACAATGTATCGGAAGAAGTTATTCGCATTTCAGTTGAATTTATTCAGTGTTGTGCTTTATTTTATGTTTATGTAACTCTGTAGTAACACACCTGATGAGATACAGCGAAATATGCCTGGCAATAAATTGTGTAATGTATTGTTTGTGTCCGCATTATTTAAATTCATTACGGGAAAACATTGTTTTGAACTTTATCTAAATTTATCATGAAGGTACCAGAAGCCTTGCTAATATTTTGGTTCAGATCTCAAAACAAAATCAGAGTTTTCTTGTATAACTGTTGACTCTAATGGCAGAGCACTAGGCACATTGTGATGGAGGTTACATTTAAGCTGCTGTATCTGCACCTTTCAGTTCAACACATCTGACTAGCAGATCTTTAATTAATCGCTTCTGTTAACATGCTTGTTGGTTTGGGGAGGGGGCACTGAGTCTGTTAACCCCAATTTTACTATTGATCAGAGCACACTAAATAAATTTGGTGAGTCTGTTAACCCCCATTTTACTGTTCCTCAGAGCACACTAAAGAAATCTGGTTTTCCTGTTGGCTACTTCTGCTGCGTATTTTATATATTTTCATCAGTTATTCCTCCATGACTTTTCATACTGGTCATTCATTCTCTTGTGGCGCTGTGATATCGATCACAGGAATGAGAGAAAGTTAAGGCCGTTGTGATGTGTATAAGGAGTTACTCTGTACCTCACTTCGGGCTCCAGCCGGCTCTGGGATGGTTCTACAGATCCTCACACAAGACTCCTGGGTCATGTCCACTTCGTCTGCCATGGATAATGGCTCACCTTTGTGACCTGAACCGAGTTGGCAGAGGATCTATGAGTTGGTTGTCTCTAGAGATCTTGTGTCTAGTCTGGCTCACACCTGACCACCCCCAGTGCATAGGTGAAAATATTTATTAAAGTTCATTTGGAACATGGCTAATTTCCACTAGGTGATCACACTACAAAATGACAACCCTTGGTTAAAATGTCTGTCAAGTGGGAAGAACTCTAACAAGAGATTGGCTCGCACCCTAGACGAGCAACTTCTCTTGCGGGCAGCAACTCAGAGGACAGTCCTGTCTCCATACATCCCTTGCTGTTCCTCAACATTGTCATCACCGCGTTGAGGTACACCTCGACAACCTGCCACTTTCAGTGAGCTGGTACAGCATTAATGTCCACCTGATACATGTCCTATGATACAGAAGCAAAGTTCCGAATGTCTGACCCCAAAAAAAGTCCTGCTGGTTGGCAGAAAGGTTTACATGCCTATTACCATTGGCACCACTCGCTAGAGTATGGAAACTAAAAGAGGGAGAGAGCTATGCTAGATGCCTTGCCCTACTGTCTTGCTAAGTTCCAGATGAAACAACATTAAGAGTGTCTAATATGTCAAAGAAAAATGTACCTATTTGTGGGATTATCAAAGTCTTGGACCTGCCAGCTGCTTCCTGCTGATCTCCTGGCACGCAGCCCATGACAGTTGGAAAGCTGAGCATATGGATGAGATTATGCAGTCATGTGCAGTACGTGACGATTCCTTAAAGTGAGCCCAGGACCAGAGCATAATGTCTTGGCTGTACATTTATGGAAGCCTCTTTGGATGGTGGGGAATGCCCACAATCTGCTCCAGCCTTCTTTTGAGGGCCGTCCTGTCTACACGCAGATGCCGTCGACAGGTCACAAGGGGCAACACCTGTAGATAAGGGGACAAAAAGAACTCTGCACAAATAAGGCCTAACATTTCTATGTCTGGAAACTATCTGGGAAGTTAACCCAGTCAACAAATGCTAGAGGAAGTTTGATTTTTTGGCCAAAAGGCGCAGGTGTCGCAGCTCTGCTGTAAACAGGCACAAATGCATTGACGTCCCTTGGACAAAAGAAAAGGTTATTGATTTGGGAATTTGCTGTGAGACCTTTGGCATTAACAAACATCCCTAATCCCACTGGTCTATTATATGAATGGTTTATTCTGGCTTCCTAGTTGTGAACGCAGTTCCACAATCCCATAATACCGAAATTGGAAGACAACAGCTGGCGATTTGAAAGTGGACCACTATGCATTGATTTCTACAATACTATTAGTCATAGCATTCAGAAAGCAGTGGGAAACTACAGAACTTAAAATTGCCTGAGCATATAAAATTTTTTTTACTGTATCCATGACTGTCATCATTATCGTTATCCTCACCATCGCACCATCATTATTTTTATCATTATCATCATCATCACCACCATCATAATCATCATATATATATATATATATATGAACAGTATGTGAACAAACTATTATTGAACCTTGAGCTTTCAAATTTTAAATGAACTCTTATTTCCAGTTACCTGAGCAGGCTTCTGTCGGAGAACCCCAAGGCTTACAAAATTCAAGCTGGAGCCTTGCGTTTGCTGGCTAGGATAATTGATTATGGTAATTTTTTTATTTGCATTCTCTGCCAGGACACAGTGTTTGTAGGACTTACCAATTGTTAGAATGTCTCATTTGATTTGCGTTTTATGTTAGTGTGCGATGGATTGTGAGGGGGGGGGGGGGATGAGACAGAATTTTAACAAGCATTCATTTTGACTGAATTATGCAAGAAGGATTGGTAAGAAAAAGTTGCCATAGGTAGGCGACGAATGCCATCCATGAAAAAAACAAGATTGTGGCTGCTCACTGAACCAAGTGTTTACTGTTTTATTAGATCTACATCGATATGATATCGTTGCCCCTTGAAAGCTGTTTTTAAAGAGTTAAACAAATAAAAACCACATAGTGACAAATCAGGACTATAGGTGATGATTATGATAATACTCCTGATTGCAGCAGAGGCGCCAGCACTGTAAATAATATAAAAGGGAAGATACCATATTACGCATGTATAGGCCACAGTATTTTAACAGAATATTGTTAATAACACATATGATGCAGCTTTTATTCTAGATATTAGACATATGTGTCAGTTTTTGATATAATTTCTTAATAAACAGTACACCACTTTGAAACGTACCTTGTAAAAACAATACTGGTAATTTACTCCATTTTGCACTGATGACGTACCAGTGACATCCATTGATTTTTAAATGGAGGTGACTTTGAAACTCTTGATTATCATTTCATCTTGTATGAGTTTCCATACAGTTAGATCCACCCACAGAATTAGGATAGTGAGGCATTTTCTCAGATGTCCATTTGGAGTCACTTCTGTCAACCTGCATTTCCAGTCACGATTGAAACACCACAACTGAACCTTAAAGGGTCTGATAATGGCTATAGTGGTTGTAATATGCCAGTCATTCCTCCTAGTTTCAGAGCCATATCACAATTCTCTTGCCAAAACCACACTGTCTTCAACCAGTGGATGTACAATTCTTCAGTCATTCACCCTTTCTCTTGCACTCTTTCCATTATTGCAGGTCGTAGCTTCTACTTTCGGGTAATCGTCTTTTACCATAAAAAGATTGTCAACTTTAGAATGTTTTCTCAAGAGAATTTTGCATTCCAATCCATCTTCGTGCATCTTTATCTTCCACCTGAACTTCCTTCCAGCTTCCCATTTTCTTGTGCATAATGCACTACTCGCAACTTATTGACAACTGTAACTTGCTGTTAAGCGACCCATCTTTCACTCCTTACAGGTACTAATGTTTCGATTTTGGTCTCGATGAAACTTTAGGACAAGTATTGTGTGTGTGTGCGTGCGTGCGTGCGTGCGTGCGTCATCTTATCCACCCATTCCTGGACCTACCTACTTATCCTCTTATCAGTCATCAACAAGTTGACACCTAGTTTACACACTTTACATAAAAGATTAATGAAATTAAGCATTACCTACATGTGTGAACTATAATTTGGTCCTCAGACCACATCAGAACTCAGATCTCCCACCTGCGGCAATGGCAGCATGTCTTGGAGTCTGTGATGAATGCCATCAGACACTTCCACCACGACAGTCAGCTTCTCTACAGTGCTGTCATGATTTTGACGTACATCCTCAGAGACAGTATGTAGTCATCTTGTGGCTTGACCTCATTTTTTTTTTAATGCTTGACTACAAGTGTTGCAGTGACTACCAGAGTTTGTAGGAAATTGTTGATGTAATCTCACTAGAAAGTCAAACCAAAAATATTGTCTTGATAGAGGAAATACAGAGTAGATGGTTTGTTGATTGGTTGGTTGTCTGATGAATCCATCGGAAGACAGATTGGCTGGATCTGCACCACTGGGTGGTGAATTGATACATGACAAGGCAGATGTGGTCAAGGCTCTGTGGGAACAAGCAACGGAATCAGTAGAGAAACAAGATTATTATGGCCTGGAGAGAATGAGGCACTTAGGTGTAATCAAAGGGTCTGACTGGCTCACTACGCTCGGAGGAAAGGCGAGACGGACATAAAACCAGATTGTGATTGGTACTATTAGTATTGGAACTCTGGGCTGGCTGCTGAAGATGAGGACGGAGCATACATGGGAATGCATGAGTGCTGTGATGTCAATTCCTGACTCAACTTAACTCCTTGGGAAGACATGTCTGGTGTACTGGCAGAGGGTGTCTGTCATGTCTGTCACTGATGGACTAGTCTAATAATGAAATTTCTTTTTCCTGAGATCTTTCTTCCTGACTCTCTCTGTTATATATATATCTATATATATATTTATATATATATATATATATATATATATATATATATATATATATATATATATATATATATCTATATATATATTTATATATCTCACATACAGAGAGAATTTTCTCACTTTTTTCATATATCCCCCCACCCAAATATCTCTCTTAATGCCATTGACATATATCTCACATATATCTCACATCGCTCTCACTCTTATTCATTTCTCAGCTTACTACTTTCACGTCTCTTTTGTCTCATATCTTTCCTTTACATCTCTTTCACATGTTTCTCATATCTGATCAAATCTTTCCTTTACATCTCTTTCACATGTGTCTCATATCTGATCACATCTTTCCTTTTCATCTCTTTTACATGTGTATCTGTCTCACATTTTCCCTTCACACCTTTTTCACATGTGTCTCATATCTTGTGTCACATCTTTGCATCTCTTTCATGTATCTTTCATATCTGTCTCACATCTTTCCTTTATGTCTCTTTCATGTATTTTTCATATCTGTCAAACGTCTTGTATTTACATCTCTGTGACATATGTCTCATATCCGATCACATCTTTCCCTTACATCTCCTTCACATGTATCTCATATCTATCTCACATTTTTCATTTATATTTATTTCACATATCTCACAGTCTCACATTTCTCCGTTACATCACTTTCACATATCTCTCATATCTATGTCACATCTTTCCTTTACACCTCTTTCACATGTGTCCTATATCTACCTCACATATTTCTTTATCTCTCACATTTATTTTCTACCTACCGTCTTCACTGTCACTCTCTTTCACACCTGCTCTCTCAATTCTCTAACTTTCCTTTCACTTCACTTTACCACTTTTCAGTCTTTTAGTCCGTCTAAAAATGCCCTTTCCTCTTAATCTGTGTAAAAATGCCATTTTCTTTCTCTTAGTCTGTCTAAAAATGCCCTTTTCTGTCTCTTAATCTGTGTAAAAATTATGTTTCCTCTGTCTTAATCTGTGTAAAAATTATGTTTCCTTTGTCTTAATCTGTCTACAAATGGCCTTTTCTTTCTCTGTCTGTTTAAAAATGCCAATTTCTCTCTTTTAGTCTGTCTAGAAATTCCTTCTTTCTGTTAGTCTGTCAAAAATGCCCTTTTCTGTCTTTGTCTGAAAATGCTTTTATCTCTCTATCTCTTTTAATCTGTCGAAAAGTGCCCCTTTCTTTCTTTTAGTCTTTTAAAAATGCCCTTCTCTCTCTCTTGGTCTGTCAAAAAATGATCTTTTCTTTCTTTTAATCTGTCTAAAAATACAATTTTCTCTCTCAGTCTATCTCAAAATACAATTTTCTTTCTCTTAATGTGTCTAAAATTTAAGTTTTTTCTCTTTTTTTTTCTGTCACTTCTGCTTCACTTCTCTTTTCTGCCACTCCTTTTCTGTCACATTTCTTTTAATCAGTTTCTGTTTCACTGCATTCTTTCAATCTCTCTCATGTTTTCTCATGTCAAACGGGCCTGCGTGCCCAATTTGTAACCCTTTGAAAATAAAGTTTGTTTGTTCATTCGTTCGTTCATTTCTCTCTTTCTGTCTTGCTCTCTCTCTCTCTGTCTCTTCTCCTCATCTAAACTTTAAGACCAATTCATTTGATGGTTGATTTTGTTCAAACTTGACATATCAACAGTTTGCTGAATTACAGCTCTGCCAGTTAGTCACCTGATGTTTATTTAACACAGAGAGCATGTTGTTTCAGACCCAGATCTGCAGATGCAGTTGGCAGAGAAGTACACCCCATTGATTATGTTGCTGTTCAAACCTCACATTCAACAGACTGAACTTGTGAGGCATTTGCTTCATGTTCTCTGGCAGACAGCTCATTGTGGTGAGTGTGTCAGTTGTTGCTACAGGATAGGTTTCACAGGTTAAAGGTAGGACAGGTTAGAGTGGGTAAGATTGGTTAGACTTGGCAGAACATGTTAGGGTAGATAGGACAGTTTAGAGTGGGTAAGACTGGTTAGACTGGGTAGAACATGTTAGGGTAGATAGGACAATTTAGAATGGTAAGACTGGTTAGACTGGGTAGAGCATGTTAGGGTAGATAGGACAGGTTAGAGTGGGTAAGACTGGTTAGACTGGGTAGAACATGTTAGAGTAGATAGGACAATTTAGAGTGGTTAGACTGGGTAGAACATGTTAGGGTAGATAGGACAAGTTAGAGTGGATAAGACTGGTTAGACTGGGTAGAACATGTTAGGGTAGATAGGACAGTTTAGAGAGGTTAGACTGGGTAGAACATGTTAGGGTAGATAGGACAGTTTAGAGTGGTTAGACTGGGTAGAAAATTTTAGGGTAGATAGGACAGTTTAGAGTGGTTAGACTGGGTAGAACATGTTAGGGTAGATAGGACAGGTTAGAGTGGGTAAGACTGGTTAGACTGGGTAGAACATGTTAGGGTAGATAGGACAGGTTAGAGTGGGTAAGACTGGTTAGACTGGGTAGAACATGTTAGGGTAGATAGGACAATTTAGAGTGGTAAGACTGGTTAGAGCATGTTAGGGTAGATAGGACAGGTTAGAGTGGGTAAGACTGGTTAGACTGGGTAGAACATGTTAGAGTAGATAGGACAGGTTAGAGTGGGTTAGACTGGGTAGAACATGTTAGGGTAGATAGGACAGTTTAGAGTGGTTAGACTGGGTAGAACATGTTAGGGTAGATGGGACAGGTTAGAGTGGGTAAGACTGGTTAGACTGGGTAGAACATGTTAGAGTAGATAGGACAGGTTAGAGTGGGTAAGACTGGTTAGACTGGGTAGAACATGTTAGAGTAGATAGGACAGGTTAGAGAAGGTAAAAGATTATGTGATTTTAAAATAAACACATATGGGGGAAGGGGAGAGGGGATGGCAGAAAACGTTCCACACCCGGTTACCCACCTGACCTTGCCACACCACTGCCTGTATCTTGTAATGGTCATTGCTGTGCATTTATTGTCTCATAAACTGTTTCAGAACAAGCACGGCAGTACTTGGCATTGCCAGTTGTAACACTGATGTCTGAACAGATAACTTTCTGGCATTCAGATGTTGCTATCATCTGTGAATGTTTTTCTTTGTTGGAGAAGTTATGTCTGTATGGTGAGTGTACATTTTGTTAGTCTCATTGTCTTTTTATTATTTGGAGTATGTGAAATCAGCTGAAATTATGTTTTAGGATGTGCATCTTTTTCGTATTGAAAATGTGTTTTGTTTCTCACAAGATTGATGGGGTATTACATCCAATAGGAGAATGTAGGTAGAAGCAGTTACTTCTACCTTCAAGGCTTTGTCCGATTGTTCAGTTTATTTTGTGATGAAGTGAGGCCCATATTTAAATTGTTCTACAGTAAAATCTCATTAACATGAACTTGTTTAAGAAGAATACTTAGTTAACATGAACAAAGTTTTGGGCCCTGCAGGAATGTACCTACTTGAGTCCCAGCGAGCACTTAATTATTTTTCAACATGAAATTTGGATTATTCACCCCTTTGGGATTCATGTTAATGAGGTTTTACTGTGCTTGTAAGTCTAGTTTGAGAATGGAGGTGGAGGCAGTCACTGCTGCCTTCCACCGGCTTGAGAATCAGCTGTACACACATGCTATGATTGTAACTGACTCACAGAGCATGTTGAGAAAGGTGGAGACAGGCATGCTCTTGCAGAGTGGCAAGCATTGCTTCAGAGGTTCTGGGAATTAGTGTCCTTTAGATATTTAGATTTAGATATATTATATCCTTTAGACATTTACTCCAGGTTATGCTGGTGTGCACCACTTTGGTGAAATAGTGTATGACAAGCTAGATATTGTGAGTGCCCTTTGAGAGCGAGTGAACAGTGCAGAGGCACAGATAGATCACTATGGTCTGAGGAGGATGGCACTGTGAGGAGGTCCAGGGGATCTGGCAGACACTCAACACTCAGGGAAAAGGTGAGACACATATACAATAGACAGGTACTGGTGCCATCTGAATTGCAACTTTTCATTTGTTGCTGAAGATGGGGACAGAGCGCTTATGGGGGTGCCCCAAGTTTTGTGATGTCGATTCTTAATTCAACATTCAACATATATTTAGTGATGATTTTTTTTTCTATAAAAAATAACCTTTGTGCAAAATAATGAGTCTACATTTTAAAAATTCCCTCTCTTTAGTGACATGTGGGTCATGGTGATGCAGTCACAAGCTGGCTTGGTGGTCGTAAGTTTAACGTCTTGGAGTTTTATAAGCAGTGACCAAAAGGAGGCGGTCACTGCAGCTTTCCGCTGGCTAGAGAACACGACACACACACACATCATGATTGTAACTGACTCAGAAAGCATGCTGAGGAAGGTCCGGACAGACATGCTTCATGCAGAATGGCATGCTTCACTGCGGAGGACATGGGTGAGGAGTATTGTCTGGATTTTGTTCTCCGGAAGACGCCGGTGTGTTGGGAAATGAACGGGCGGACAAACTGACTGCTGTGCACAACTTGGTGGAATATTGATGTATGATAAGGCACACGTGGTAAGGCCTTGTGAAAGAGAGTGTACATTTCGGAGGAGCAGATGGATCACCATAGTCTGGTGAGATTGATGCAGCAGAGAGTGACAAGGGGTTCTGGCCAATGTTCAAGGCTCAGAGAAAAGGCTAGACAGAGGTTTAATCAGAATGCTACTGGCACCATTAGTATTGGAACTCTGTGCTGGCTGCTGAAGATAGGAACAGAGAGCTTATGAAAATGCCCCGAGTGCTGTGATGTTGGTTCTTGAATCAACTCAAATCTTTCTATAGTTTCCTTAGGATACAATTTCAGAACATTATAATGTTGTTTCTTTTTAAATAAATTTTGAAAAAGATAATTGTTTAAATATTTTTATGAGCAAAAAAGGTTAAAATGCCATACCAGCCTCTGGGTTGAGTTATTTGACCCTGTTTCCTCAGAAAAATTTGCTGAACTTCTTGTGGACAAGGACCTCCTGATGAGGTCAGTTCTGCCTGAAATGATGTCTTCGAGTGAGGATGCTCGTATACAGTTGTATGGACTGAGGATATTTGTTCTCACAGGTGACTTCTTGCACGTCTCCTTAATATTGCCTTCCGTGTCCACACAATACCTCTGGGCCATGGGATTTGTGGTTAATACATGAATAATGTGGTGATATATAA